TCTCTCTCTCTCTCTCTCTCTCTCTCTCTCTCTCTAAGGAGAGTGTGTGTGGTGAAATACCAAACCTATCTTCCAGTGTCTGGGCAATAAAGACACACCATCTCATCTTATCATATCATCTTATTTTTTGCTTATAGAATCTAAATGTTTGATACCTTGAGATATCATGGAAAGTCAAGAGGTGTGTCATATTTATATATTCTATGTGAGCTAAACGACTAAAATAGTAGTTACATTTGGGTATAACAAATTCAAGAAACAGATACAGACACTTCATAGATTGCATTTACCAGCAAGGACATCTGAGATTAGCAACACTTCACAGATTGCATTTACCAGCAAGGACATCTGAGATAAGGAAAACGTTTTGTTTTGTGAAAAGTAGACTCCAGCTTTTTTTTTTTAATGAATGTCTCACTTCCCGAGGTATGCCTGTTTCTTTCCGTTTCAAACATGGGAAACACTTTCCATGCTTTGACTTTGTGTTATAAGTATTTCTCCCCCGAAAATAAAAATACAATAAAAGTGAGATGCTTGAGAGGAAAAAAAAAGACAGTGGTATCAAATTGTCTGCTGGTCTTGTATCACTTACCTGCGTGTCTTTTGGGTTGACATAACCGTCAAGATGAATGTCCTCTCGGGTATTGCGAAAGGAACTGGCTGAAATATCTGAGGAAGTTAACACGCAGTAAGGGGCCTGCCATTTTTGTTCGTTTGTTTTTGTTTTGCTTTGTTTTTGTTTTGCTTTACTTCCTTGTTTTTTTTTTGTGGGTTTTTTTTTTTTTTTTTTTTTGCTTGTTATTTTACGGTGCTTTATTACATGTTCATCGGACCTTCTTGTTTGCTATTACTTTGTTTCATCTTTCTGTTGTTAGTTTTCTTTGCCGTTTTGTTGCTTTGTTTGTGTGGGTGTTGTTGTTTGTAGTTTTTATTAAACCATTGTTTTGTTTGTTTGTTTTCTGATGGAGGGTTGGGGGGGGGAGGGGAGGGTATTTTTGTGGCTGTTATATTTTAGGGGGGAGGTGGGTGTAGTCTAACATATTATTGAAGACACATAAAGAAGCTTCACTGACAATCTGAAGTTTCGAGACTTTATTTTCTAAACTGACCATCTGTCTACAATACAAACACTCGCATAGGAGTGGGAGAACTACAAAATTCAGAGTGAGAACAGACGAAGAATGCATCCAAAACCAACAAAATTTTGGTGTGCTAAACTGAACCCTGCCAACTGGGATGTACATCTAGTCAAGGGAGGACAAATTTAAACAGCTTTTTCTCTACCCATGCTGCTGGTAAAATCGTTGCAGCCCCTTTTCTGGGGGCGGAGGAGGGAGAGGGGCGGAGAAGTTCTGTTTTATTCCATCTATATCAGGTTACCACAAGATGAATGCCAGTGGGTGAATGCCTGTGTCAAAATATAGAGCACAGAGAATTGCTATTTATAAGCAATTCCTTTATGTGTTTGTCTGTGCGTGCAGGGTGCACGGCAGAGCTGTTCATATCAACTAGACATAAAAGATTCACTCACTGTTCTCAGTTTATTTTGTTGTTGTTTTTTGTTTTTTTTAAGCCCCTGATCTTCCGGTAGGAAAGATTACCCCCTAGCCTTCTCAGGCAAGAGCAGAAAATCTCGGAGGTCCCGTATGCAAGTTGCGCACGTTACAGAGGTCCTGGTAGTCTAAAATCGATAAGAGTAGGCTTCGGCCGCAAGCCGGGCAATATTTATTAAAACTTCCTACAAACTGAAAATGTTTGATGTGTCCCGCTCGCTCATACAACCTGATGCAGTTGCGAGAGCAACAAACACACACACACACACACACACACGCACACACACACACACGCGCGCGCGCGCGCGCGCGCGCTACACACACGCACACACTTCTAGATCAGATGTAGATCTAGCCCCGCACCCCCCACCCTACCCACTCCAAATTTGAGCAAAAAGCGATTAATGCCAACAGAGCAAACATCTGTGAATGAAACGTCTGTCTCTAATAGGACCAGGCTAGGTTGACGGAGAACGTTGAAAACGTTTAACACACAGACTAAATTTGAGAACTCCCCATTGACTCGATTCGAACAATGGCCATCCATGAACTTTTAAAAGTCAAAGTACACATCTAAACCAACGAATGAGCATCTTTGATCCATACTGAGGGTGTCGCTTTTGTTCTGAAGAACCGTTCAAGTTCTAGAGGGCTTAACTCTATTCCTGTTATACAAGAGGCAGGATCTTCTTATTTCACGTCCATCTCCTATAAGATTGAGCCAGATTGGTATGGAACTTTGAAAACTCCCCAAAACAACCCAAGTTCAGGACTATCAGTTGGGAATTAGAACCCAGATCATCTGATTCGTACGCTTGCATGATACCAACTGAGCTAACAGTACGCCTAATTCTCATTTCAATTCATCCTCATCATCATCATCATCATCATCATCATCATCATCAAGTGTTTTCTCTGGGACAGACATTGGCAGTTGTGGTTCTCCGTTCCATTTTTTTTTATTGGAGGCCCTCATGAGTAGTTAAGTGGTTCATTGTGTTGTCAGTTGCCCTGGTGTTCAGTCAGACAATAGTGATATGTTTACTATATGCATTATCTAATATACATGTATAAAGGATATAGAAGTAGAAACAGGACTAAGAAAAGGGCGAAGGATGGGACACACCTTTAGAAAGCCCAGCGAAAACATCCCATGACAGTCACTGCAGTGGAACCCACAAGGAGCACTAGGCAGGGGTAGGCCACGGGAAACATGGAAGAGATGTGTGGAAAGGGATATGAGAGAGATGAAGCTCACTTGGAACGAGCTTGGAAGGATGGCCCAGGACGGAGATAAATGTAAGGGGCTTGTATGTGGCCTATACCCTGCCAGGGGAGAAAGGCATTGATGATGGCAATGTATGTAAATGAAACGCATGTGTTGGCGCCCTCGGCTTTCTTCCCTTCCAATTTTCCGGTCATTAGTGTCACCCTAGACGGTCATATAATCAGGCCACCTGCGCGCTACTGACCTAGATTCCTTGTGGGCTGACACACCCGTGTAGTAAGCCCAC